GGGGGGGGGGGGGGGGTCTGTTTCTGTGAGGGGAATGAAGTATTTTTCAGAGAACCATCAGCAGTGAGCACGGTGCTGAAGGTGGGTGGTGGGGTGGGCAGTTCTGTCAGTGGCTGTCCAGGCAAGCTACAGTGGGGAGTGCAGGAGGAGGTGGTTAGCCAGCACCTCTTGCACCTGGTGTTCTGGCCCCTGCTAGTGGGTGTGCATCTTGCCTGGGGCCTCAGCTGGGGGAGGTCCACTGGGGGAAGCAGGGCCAGCACCATGGCCAGCTGGAGCCCGAGTCACTGGGTGTCACTGTCAGGGGCAATAGCTGGAGCAGCTATGTCATGGGGAGGCAGAGGCTGCAGTGACGGAACTGCTACATGCTGCCCCTGTTCTCTGTATGCTGCTGCTGACTAGAAAAGCAGTGGGCCAGGGAGCAGGACTGCCTTTTAAATATAGCCTCCAGCCACAGGTAGCAATGACTAGAGCCTCCAGCTCCTCCTAGTGGCAGCTGGGGTCCATTGCATGGTCCCAGGAAATGGGAGCAGTTTGCTGCTAGAAGCAGCAAATCTACTCCTGTTTCCCTGCATGTGTAGATGCCTCTCTGGGAGCATTTACTCACGAGTAAACTGCTCCTGGATCAAATGTACATGTAGCCATGCCCAGTGAAAACACCGTGAATATGAAATTCTAAATGTGAGTCATTCTCCTTCTGGGACAGTTTCTCATTCAGCTCTCAAAAGAGACAGGCAACTTGCCCTAACTCATTGTTCGTTTCTCCCTGATGAGACATGTTGCTTTAGCAAGCTTCTGTAAGTAAGAGTATGGAGCCAAGGCTTCAGTAGCTGCACATATTTTATTTTTACATTGTTTTGTGGTATCTTCCTGAAAATATAAAGTAATATAGCCTTATGTCCAGCTGGAGAGCCACTTTTCTTAGCCAGAATAAAGTAATTAGTGTACTCAGTGAAGGCAGGGATGAATGTTCATGAATTTCATGGGTTGGTGACAAGAGCCTTTTGCCAGGACCTGAATAGCTGGCACAGTGATGAGCATTATCTGTTGCTTACTTTAATTTTGTTTTTTTGAAAATAGAGGTTCCACTACTGTAGTAGAGCAATTGTTTCAGTGAACAAAACATATGGTTTGTGCTAAATCTTGAAAATGTATAAATGAAAAAAAGTTAATGCTTGCTGTAATGGCAGATGAAAAAAATGGGGAAAAGTTTGAAGTTAATTTCTAATAGATTTGCTGTTTATTCTTCATCATATGAACTAGCTAACCAAAAGCCAAGACTTCTGAAACATAGCAATATTAAAAAATCCAGAAATTCCTGACTTTAATTATGGCCTCAGTAAGAGCTCAATTTTGTAACATACAGAATGAAACTGCCAGAATACTATGTTTTTTCAATCTATTAGCTTTCTGAAAATGTTTTAAAACATTTTAGGTCAACTGTTTTTTGAACCAAAAAAACCCAGAAACATGTAATTTCAGGTTGAACAGGTTGAAGAGGTATCCTATGACTGGATATGACATGCTCTGCTTCAATTTTCATATTTAAAACTTTAAAATAAATGGAAGGAAATATCTCTATGACATTCAAATAAAACAAATCAAACTGATTAAGGCAGAAATTTTATTTTCACAAAAAAGTTTCATTTTGAAAATAAAGCAAAATATTTGAACTTTTTTAAGAACTTTCTTTCTTTTTTTTTTTTTTTTGCTGTTTTTTTCCTCTCATTCAGAACAATTTTGCAAAACCAACATGAACTTGTGCAGTGTTTTTCTATCACCAGATGTATATTGTTCTCAGGAAAGTTTCAGCTGAAAAATGTTGCCCAGCTGAGCATGGGGTGTTCTGGTCAAAGTAGCATAGCACTCAATAACACATTTAATTTCAAGTATGTGAGTAGGCTTATTGACTTCAATAGGACTATTCACATGCTTATACTTGCATATACTTAAGCAGAATTGAACTCTAAACCTTTCAGGGAGTCTTACATAAAACCAGTCCCACCTGGTGACTAAGTATTACAGGGATATCAACTTTTTTCCTTAGGTCCAATTTATATGCTAGATATTTAAGGAATTATTTTCCCTAATGCATATGTACATGCAAAAAATAACAAGAGTTAAACCTGGGTGATTTCAAACAGAGCTAAAAAAAAGTTTAAAAACCCAATATTGTTAATGCAGCAGTCTGACACTGTAAACAACTTAAAAATATTTTTTCATGGGTGAGCTGAGATAAAGAATTCCCAGTAGACTCTACTGGGATGACTTGTTTCCCTTGCAGCTGTTCTTAATTTTAGAACCTTTCATTCCCCATAAATTCATTGTAAAAATAATTCATTCTTGAAACATATGACTCAGAGAATCAATAGCTTGTGGTTAAATAGAGAGAGCGCACTAGATGCCATCCTTGGTATGTCACATCTTTCATGATAAGAAACTTTGTTTTTCAAATGTACAAACTATATTTTGCTGCAGTGGTTTTTGAACAATGTGAGCCTCAATTACACTGGCCACTGATGGCAACTAGAATACCAACAAAAAAGAAATCAATAGTTTCACACAGAATTGTAAGTTAACTCCTAAGCCTGTTGTTCACAGGGTATAAAAATCATTGTTTTACAGTAAACTGTCTCTGCATCAGTAATCAGTTTAAACTAGGGCTTTCTTGCAGCAGAAGAAAAGGAGGGAAAAGTAATGTACGTACAAAGGCGCTGTGTTTCTTTTGTCACTGTTTGTTTAATGCCATCAAATTCTGCACCCCTGTGGCATAACATCAGATTCCAGGAAAGTGGCTGATTCATTCTTTCTATTTGCTTGAATATTCACATCTATTATTTAGTTTCACCAAATGCAAAAAAAAAAAAAGGAAAAAGAAATTAACAGAAAGCAATTACTCACAGCTAAAATTATACAAGCAAGGAGACAGAAACCAAACAAGAGGAGTTCAGGCCTGACTGTCACACCAAGAACATGCTGGCTTACATGCAGAAGATTGACTGAGGCCCTATGTGCAATGGAAAGAAGAAATGCGCTGCCTTACATTTCCTCTTTCAGTACTAAGAAGAAGGCATTTACTTTGGCATACGTCCTGAAAACTCCTTAGTCCCAAAAATGTGAGCCACCCTGTCGCTCAGACTCTTTTCTTTTCAGAATTACAAGATCTTGTCATAATCTCCTCACAATGACAGACTGTTTGAGGGAGTGACTTTGGCATTGTCTCCTATTTAAGATTTCAAAGTGCTAACTTGCTCTGTTTTCTGGAACAAGTTGGTAAACATAAATTGCAGAATTAATTCTCCAACACATCTGTTGATTTCACTGGGTGTGTCTACATGAGACAATTTACTAAGCAGCAGCTCAGTTTACTGTGCAGTAAGCGTATGCATTTACACATGCTCATGCTTACTTTGCAATAAATGACACTACTCACAAGTAAATTTACTACCCGCAGATGCAAGTAACAAATGTACTCACAAGTAGTTACTGCAATTACAAGCAGTAACACGTGTAGACGCTGACTGAGAGAAAATCTGTTCCTGGTCAGCCCTGCCACTAAGGGGCCAGCCTGAAGCTAGCCCCAGGGCTCTAGGGCTGGAAGCTTCTCCTGCTGCAGGGCTGGGCCAGCTCTATGCCTGCCCCAGCCTCAGGCCTTTAAAAGCCTGCAGGCATTTTGAGCCCTGGTGCACATGCAGGCAGCCTGAGGCCACTCCAGGCCTGGACAGGCCGCAGGCTAGCTGAACCAGACCACCTGAACCCCAATGCCACTGCCTGGCACTGCAGTGCTGCAGGAGCTGCCCAGGCCTGCAGGCTGCTCCAGGCTCCTGCCAGGTGTGCCAGCAGCCAGGTCCAGCTGCAGGCACCCACTGGCCACTGGAGCCAGCTCCAGCTGCCTGCAGTTCAGAGCCTGCAGGTGCTATGGTGCATTGCCTTGCCACGCAGCTGCTAGTCCAATGATGTGCCCCTGCATTAGGTGCTCCAGGCAGCTGCCCAGCCCTGGCAGCACAAGGACAGCCGCATGAAGTCCCAAGGAATCAATGCAGGAGCCCTCGCTGACACTAATGCCCACCACCTGGAGCCCCAACTGGTTGCAGGAGGAGACTCGTGACCTTGTGGCACTGTAGGGCAAGGCAGAGGTACAGCACCAATTCATGCGGGATGGGTGCTCCAAGGCCTAGGTGTATAAGGTGTTGTCAGGCTGGATGGGGGAGTGTGGCCATGACCAGTTGGCAGTGGCAGTGCTGCATAAAGGTCAAGGCCTTGCAGGCACAGTAGATCATGATCACTGGCCACAGTCATTGGTCAGGGGGTGCCCACAAGTTCATGACCTTTATGCAGCAACTAACATAGATCCTTATGCCCTGGCACCCAGGCCATAGCTGTGCTATATACAGCAGCATGGGCAGCCTACCTGAATCCCTACCTGGCCTGGCATACATGGTAATGTGTCACTGGGGGAGGGACCCTCAGGGCATCAACATTTCCACACCTACAGCCTCCCCCAGCAATTCAGGGAGCCCAGGCCAGCACCTTGCCCAATAGCTCTGTAGCCTCAGCCCCAGCTACAAGGCACAGATGGCCATATAATCACCGGCCACCAGCAGCACCATCTCCTCCCTGGGGAGGGGGACCCTGTCCAGGCACCTGTATGCCACAGCCCACCATCTAAAGACTTTGTCCAGAGCTACACACCATTGCTGCCAGCTGGGACTGAGCAGAGCCACCAGCCACACCAGTTCCAGCCACGGGGTAAGCCCCACACTTCAGGGAGGGCCCTCCCCAGCCCAGCCCATGCCCACGGCCCAAGGCCCTACCCCCTATTCCTTCCCTGCCTGGCCTGGTCATACTCCCCCGGACCCTAGCTTCCTCCCCCCGCCCCTCGCATGGCATGCAGGGAGCTAGAAGCCAGTGCAAAACTTTATTGAGCAGCCCATGCCCCCAAAGCTAGGCACACACAGGAATACATTGATGCCAGCAGCCAATTCCTTCTTAGATGTGGAGGGCAGGGATATGTAGCACAGCCACGGGTAGCCCTCCAGGTGGTGATGGTGGTGGAGGTTGCGGGGCAGCGCGGGCTTGTCCCTCACACCATCGAAGCTCAGGGTCCTGTGCCAGGTGCACAGGTGCACCTGAAGCCCCACAGCAGCAGGGTGTAGTGGGTTAGGCAACCCTTGTTTTGCACAAACAGCTCCTTGTTTAGGCCAGGGCATGCACAGAAGGGGCACGCTCAGGACAAAGCAGTGGCATGGGGAGGGGCTGGCCCCGAGGAGTCTCCTCAGAGTGTCCCCCTGCGGGGAGAATAGGGGCGCAGGCATCTCCTTGCCTCAGTTACCAAGGAGTCCTGCACACCCCTAGTTCCAGGCATTGCGGGGTCTGAAGCCACAGCAGCAGGTTCTGCCAGAAGCCTAGCCTGTCCAAGCCTGGGAACAGGGCAGGGAAGGTGGGCTGCCTCTGGCCAGCACACAGGGGCCTGCTGACCCCTGGGAAGTAAATGGGGATGGGGGCCTGGGCCTGGGCCTGTCCAGGGAACTTACCATGGTCTGCGGGCATCTGTGCACACACAAGGCCTAATCTGAAGCTGGCCAGTGTACAGCTCCTGGAACAGAGCATCTTATCTCAGAAATGCTGCAAATACTTACAAACAGCTTCTTTCTCATGGCTCTACAGGTCCTGCAGCTGCACATGAGGGAGAAGCAGCAGTTGGTAGGAAGGATGGCAGCTCAAGGTCACCACCACCCTCAGCTGGGACCCTGTGGATATGCCAGCTCTGCCAGAGAAGGACCCAGGACAGGACCCTCCTCCTGGATCGGCTGGTGATGGCATTGGCAGAGCAGCTGGTGGACTCAGGCCTGGTGGGTGGAGGATGTCACCCAGTGGGACACATGGAGCATGGAGCACCTGGCCCAGCAAGATGCATGGTTAGTGGAGGACCTGGCCCATAAGGAGGCATGGGACCATGTGTTCAGGGAGCAGCTCCTGACCCTGAAGGAGTGACATACAGAGGCACTGGAGCAGCAGACTGTGCTCATGGCCAAGGCCCCCAGCACTACAGGGTCATGGAGCTGGACTTGCCTCCAGCCAGGCCAGGACTGTGTATGGGCTCTGCTGGCCCAGGCCACTGGGTGTCAGGGGGGTAGATGGGCACACTGGGACAGCAGCAGCCACCATCATCCCTGGGCAAGCCTCCCACCTACTGGGTTTACATGTCATGCACACTCACTGGGGGAACAGCCACCCCCAGGCTCGGACCCCTAGGCACCCCCACCCCCTCCCCACAGCCCTCCACCCTGGGAGGGGACACACAAGCAAGCACAACAATGTAAATAGCACATGAAAGAGGCTGTTTTATTGTTGGTGGATGAGGTGGGTGGTAGAGTGGCTCTGTTGTTTGGGAAGAAGAGGTAAGGGAGGTCTGTTTTTGGGGAGGGAGTGGAAAGTGGGACTCTATTTCTGTGAGGGGAATAAAATGTTTTTCAGAGAACTGTCCACAGTGAGCATGGTGCTGGTGGCAGACAGTGGGGTAGAGGTCAATGGGTAGCTGTCCAGGCAGGCCACAGTGGGGAGTGCCAGAGGAGTTGATCAGCCTGCACCTCTCACACCTAGTGCCCTGACTCCTGCTTGTGGGTGCGCGACTTGCCCAGGGCCTCAGTGGGGGCCAGCACCAGGGCCAGCAGGGCCAGCACCTTGGCCACCAGGAGCCCATGGCACTGGACGTCACTGCCAGGGGCAGAGGCTGGAGCATCCATGGCATGGGGAGGCAAATGCTGAGGCAGGAGAACCGCCATCTGCTGCCCTCAGGCTCTGCATGCTACTCCCAGCCAGAGAAGTAGCTGGCCAGGGAGAAGAGATGGGGGCTGCCTTTTAAAGATACCTGCTGGCCACAGGCAGCTGCAGCCAGTGCCTCCAGCTCCTTCTGGTGGTGGCAGGGGCCTGTTGCAGGGCTGCAGGAAGCAGGAGCAGTTTGTGGCTAGGAGCAGCAAATCTGCTCCCACTTCCCTGCACATATAGACACCTGCCCATGAGCATTTACTCTTGAGTAGTTTACTCAAAAGTAAACTGCTTCCAGATCAAATGTATGTGTAGATGCACCCACTGTGTAGTACTATTTACGTAGGGAAAAGGATGGCTTTTTACCACTTCTAGTTTCATTTTACTCTACCATGAGAATTTATGCATTTCCCAGTCTTTGCTACACAAATTATGCAACTACCAGTAACAAAGCTTCCAGCATAAAAAAGCTCTATGAAAATGGAATGTCTGCAAACTAACCTCACTTAATTGACTGATAGTGGATTCTTCTGTTTTATACAGTAAAGCTGTATTTCTTGAAGGCAACATACAATATAGCAGTGTCCTAGATAAATGAAAACTGTTTTGTCACCCATAGCTAGTTAAATAAATACAGGAAGATAAATTATATTCTTCCACAATATCTGGATTATATGGAATGGAGTGTGAACTGTGATTTAGTTTGAAATAACTGACATGGCTGATTGCTTTTTAGGGGCAAGAATTGTTCCCAGAAAAGTTTTCAAGTCATTTACTTTGTTAGTGTGGCAAGATCACAAAGAATAATTTATTTTCCTAATTGTCTCTCATAGAAAAGTCTATAATTGTAATATGGATAAAACCAGTAAAATGTAGTAAGTGTCTAGAGTAGTTAGTTTTAAAACCTTTGTTTTAAAATTCTGAAGGTAATACAAAACTGTCATTTCTTTTCCCATTTTTAACAGAAAGACCATGAAGATGGAACTGGCTACTGAAAAAGACAACAGAATAGGCCTGAGAAACTTTACAGCTGCAGTATGTGGGGCTTATTCTACACATTAAG